GGCGCCGCCGGGCCGCCCGCTCAGCCTTCCCCTCCCCCAGGACCTGTACCACCAGTCGTACGACTGCGTCTGCGTCATGTTCGCCTCCATCCCGGACTTCAAAGAGTTCTACACGGAGTCGGACGTGAACAAGGAGGGCCTGGAGTGCCTGCGGCTCCTGAACGAGATCATCGCCGACTTTGACGATGTGGGTACCCCGAGCGGCCGGCCTGCCTCCACGCTGCAGCCCGCGGGGGGCTGCTCAGGGCCAGTCCCGGGTCGCGCCCTTTGCGGGACTCCCGGCGGCCGGCGCTGAGGCCTCCGTGTAGTCCCCGGCCCGTGCGGGGGCTGCTGATGCATTTTATCTTGAAGGAAGGGACACTAGCAAAATCTCTCGAGTGGAGCGTCCGGTGTGCTTCTGAATGCCCGGGAAGGCTTGTCCTCCGGGACAGGTCTCGCCCACCCTGCTCGGTGTGTAAGAGGCACCGTGTGCACTTGCCGGGGCAGGCTCGGCGAGCCTGCGGGCCCCAGGCCTCCGCCGCCGGTCAGCTGAACTCCTGGACGCGTCACTGTCGAGAGCCAGGCGCACAGCGGCGACGCAGGGCACAGGCTGTCCTCGGAGTCGAAGCAGTTGCCGCTTTTCACGGCTCAGTCTTCAGCTGTGCAGAGAATAATGTGTTTGCTCCCCTGTACGAACACGCCTCTGGCTGTAAGCACGCGGAGCTGCATCCATCTGGGCAGTTCTCGCGGGGCCTTGGCAGCCGGGCGCCTGGGCGGCCGTGGCGCCTGTGCGTCTGCGCGCCTTGCCGCCGGCGTCCACGCAGGGTTCGTGGCGAATCCTGACTGCTAGACTTGCCCACTGTTGTACCAGGCCCACAGCGGGGAAGGGTGGCCGCTAGGGAAATGCGGCCGGCACAGCAGGACCGCGCTCCCGGCCGGCGCCACGCGGCTGTGCTCGGGGATTTGCTCCGCCGTGTGGCCTCGAAGAGCCTCCTCTGGGTGCAGGGGTGCCAGAGAAAGGTTGGAGGTGCGCCCCCCTCTGCCTGGCGCCTCTGGGGAGCACTGATGTAGAACCCCCAGAGCCCCGTTGCTCTGCACACCCTTCACGTCTCCCCCTGACAGCTGCTGTCCGGTCTTTCACCTTCTGTCCCCTCGCCCAGGGAGGAGCGGTGGCTGAAACCAGAGAC